CATTTCGAGTCTAGAAGACTCTTCATCAGAGGTCATCTAGGCTCGAAATGTTAGCTTGCTCTCTCTCCATGGATGCTCTCTGACCCACTGTGATCTCCAGCATTGGTTGTTTTCAGTGCAGATTCCAGCATCTGCAGTAATTTGTGGAAAATGTGGAAAGGCTGTTTCCTCTTGTGACTGTCCAGAACTAAGGAGCACTGATTTAAAATTAGGCGTTGCCCTTTCAGGACCGAGATGAGGATTTTTTCATTAACCTCTCAGGAGGGCTGTGCAACTTTGGAATCTCTGCCTCAAAAGGCAATGGAGGTGAGGTCATTAAATATTTTTAAAACAGACTTGGATAGATTCTTGTTGGGCACGGGAAATGAAAGTTTACCAGGGCTATGTGGAATTTGAAACACAAATAGTAAAGCCATCTTATTGAATGCCAGATCAGGCTGAAGGGGCCAAATGGTCCGTTTGTTCACCTGTTTGGAAAGTGCAGTCAAAGGAATCTTGGTGAGCTGCCATCATTCCTGGCAATTAAACCCAGCCCTGATCTATCATTGACTCCATACTCTTCATGATCAATTCCAATCCGAGATCAAGTCGTTCCCAGGGACTGGACCCAATGCCTTCAAGAGAAATTAAATGAAGGCTGGAGGGAGAAAAAAAAACAATGAGAGGTTTAAAGTGCTTCTATTCTGCTTGTGGCCCACTATGTAACCCACTTGCTGCTAATGGATTATCAAATCAGATCCCTATGGAATATTCATCACTTTCAAGGACTAATCTGTGGTATCCTTTATTTCAATTTTTAGTTCACAAATTACTATTAATGAACCCTCCAATGATGGTTATAGCATTGAATGCATTTAGTCTCATTGAAAAATATGAATTGTGCACAAATCATTTTCATTTACATGCATTGCCTAGTTTATCAAGTAATTTTAAATGATCAAATATAGAGTCTAATTCTGGAATATAGAAATCTAGTATCTAATTACATCCTGAACTGAACAGCAATTATAATGCTGACCCCTAAGGCTAAAGGCAACATGACCAGAAAATGGTATGTATCCCCTGACATTACTGGTAACTCTGCTTTTTATAACGTTGATTCTAATATCTATGAAGAACAGATCAATGCCTGGAAGTTCTTCTTGGTCCTAGGAACTCAAGGTGACATGATGCATAACAAAGAGTAGCTGTTATCTATATCAAGTACATGGTCACTAATCACAACACTTAAGATAACATGTCCATTCCATTGTTAGACATCCAGAATTTACAGGAATTACCATATTGTTTTACAGAGGCAAATCTTATTGCCTACATTCCCGAAGCATTGACTCAATGTTTGAAGTTTATTTCTTAATTGATGCAAACAAACCTTTGCCTCCACGACTGAAAACTGTAGCAATTACATCTGCATTGTGAATGATTTAGGCAATATGTTCTATCAATAGTATATTATTTTCTGCCTGCTACATTTCCTACAAGTCGTTCTTTGACACGATGTGGTTCTAGCTGGGTTACCCATAATAAACAGGAATGTACGGTGCTAATAGACATTTGTACTCCATTATATCTCCAGGGCTACAGTAATGGCACATTTAAATACTGTGTTCATGCAAAGCAGACAGTGTTAAAGCAACTAATTTAATCTTTAACCTTTATTCTAGTCCAAGGAAACTCCCCTCTCCCTGAGTTGTCAGGTTTTGTTTGTTTTCAGCTCATGAATAAAATAATATTCATATTCAGTAATAAGCAATAGGACCAAGTCATGAGTAACAAAAATAGTTTTATTGTAATATGAATTTTTACTTCATCCATATCGTATTATTAATCTAAACTTAATCCACGTTTTATTGTAATATTAATACTAAAACTACCAAAGTGTACAGCACATGATTGAATTTGGAAAGGTAAATGTTAATTATGTTCATGCCATCCTTAATTTTCTCATTCTTTCATCTTTCCCAAGCCTGCTCCATTCGTCTTTTATTCATTCAACTTCGGTGTTATTTCCGAGTCTATCCTCATTATTCTTTTCTAACCTCATTCTCTTGTTATTATTGCTACGAAATTGCGCTATGGGGCTATCAGTGTGCAAACATTTAACATGGCGTGCTTTAAATTCACAATCCTCTTCACAGTCCTTTAACTGTGGTAGTAAACCAGTCAGAATGGGTTGGATTAACACCTCCACCCAAATAGTGCAGAGAGCAATTTCACACAAAGGTGTTAAGTGTTGGGAGATATTATCATATGGATATTACGTTTGTTAAATAAATCTTCCCCAACCTGGCCTTCCTTCTCACCTTCCTTGCTGAACACTGAATCTAGTTTTGATTAGCTTGGTTGAAAACTAATTCCAAAGACTAAATTGAGATAATTTTCCAAATCAAGACCAGAAAGTAAATGAACAAATTAATGATTTGGGAGTACCTTGACAGTTTTGGGATGAATGAGAGTTAAAAGAAAACCTAGTTAGGAATAAGGTCCACAAGGTCAAAAACACGTATAGATATAGGCCATTAAATATTTATTTTGAAAAGCATCATAGGTCTTGAGTTACTGGCTATGAGAACATGTCGTGGATAGAAAAGGCCCAATGATGTAGGATGTAAGCAATAAAAACAAAAAACTTCCATTTAAAAAATGTCTTTAATGTAGTAATGCATCATGAGGAGCTTCCTAGAATGTTCAAGCCTAATTCAATAATGAACCATACAAGGAGTCATTAAGTCGGATGACTGAAAGGTTGGTCAAACGGTTAGATTTTAAGGACCGTAATAAAGTGGAAAGATAAGCAGAAAGATTTAGGAAGAGAATTCCTGAGTTTAGGGTTCAGGCATTCGAAACTGCAGTCACCAATACTAGAATGATTAACATTGAAAATGCACATCTCATTGCAGATTTTCTATTTCCTTTTCTCTCATATATTTATCTAGATTCCTTTTGAAAGCCTCTGAATGATTTGCCTCACCTAATTCTTATGGTAGTGAGTTCCCCTATCCAACATGACATTATTTAAAAGAAAAACATTGCAATTGTTGAATATCTGACGAAATAACCTTACAGAGGCCAGTATCCATCACACTTTATTTACCTGTTTGCGATATATGGGCCATGACCAGCCAGCTGAAAGCCAGTCCCTAGACTGAGGAGACCTTCTGAATCTCCTGTTTAAAGCTATCATCCAGGGTTCCCTGACTGGCCCAGGTTAACAGCCCCAATCAAGAATCTCATAGGCAATGAGATCTACATGGCCATGGTTCCAATCACTGCAACTGGCAATAAAATTAAAATGTTGGAACTACTATCAGCCAATCTGACACTTTCTAGGGAAAGTGAAACATTTTAACATTTCAGAATGATGACCTTTCACCAGGAGAAGTTATTTGACAGTTTATAAGCAAGAAGAAAAGAATAGGGTTTGGGACCATGAAGAACAAAATCTGTGATAGGCTGGAGGACAGGATTAAGTAAAAGTGATGCAAGAACCAAAGGAGGTGTTTTTGGGACCTCCTCCTGATGTAAGTGTTTACAGAATATTCAAGAGGAAATGAGAATGACAATATAGGATGTAAAGTTAGAAATGGCACATAGATGGACTTGATAAACAGGTGGATATATAGACAGATCCACACACGGAGCTGAATCCTGGACTTTTTTAAAATCCATATGTCATCATTTAGAATCATAGAATTCTGGAAAGAGGCCACTTGGCCCATCAGGTCTGCACCAGCCCGTGGAATATCTTCCTACCCTATTCTCATAACCCTGCATTTACCATGGCTAATCCACCTAGCCTGCACATCCCTGGACACAGCAGGACAAATTAGCATGGCCAGTCCACCTAGCCTGTACATCTTTGGACCATGGGAGGAAACTGGAGCATCCAGCAGATACCCACACAGACACTGGGAGAACGTGCAAACTCCACACAGACAGACACCGAGGCTGGAATCAAACCCAGGTCCCTGGCACTGTGAAGCAGCAGTGCTAACCACTGAACCACCATGCCACCCATTGCTGTGGGCATTAGTACCTTTCATGTGGTAGCTGACCACAGATACAAGATTGAAAGCAGGAGCACGCTGGCTGGAGACTTCCAATTGCATCCCACATTTCCATGACGGATTGGGTATTGCATCGTACTAAATCAAAACAGAGAATGCTGGAGAAAGTCAGCAGGTCTGGCAGCCTCTGTGGAGAGAGTTTTTGAGTTTTGAATTGGGTGTGTTGCATCATTGCAAGCAATGAGCAAAGAACTGGTTGAAAGTGCAAATGGAGGACAAGATTACTTGCCCTGGATCAGTTCCACCTCTGTAACAAAAGACTCCACAGAACTCTTTCCTGACTGACAGGCAACTAACAAGTCATTTCTGACTATTCTAAAACAATCACCAAGACCCACAGTTCAAAGAAAATGAATGTCAGGGGAGCATTCCGGAAAACAAACCATCTGTGGGACTCATGAGTTATATGTGTCCGATGCCAGTGGGCAGTTTATTTTCTTCTTCCTGACAAGAACTACACTCCATTTCTTTCTCTTTTCCTTCCTAGCCCATTCTAAGCTGTCATCATGTACTTTCATCACTGCACTTGCACGGTGACTAAAATGCACAGAAAAAGTTATTTCACTCCACACAGTCACCTTAGTGGAATTACTCGAAGCACGAATGTATGTGAAGAAAATGGTGACTCATTAAGTCACCAACACAATATGCTGTTATAGCTGGTCAAGGAGATGTTGACGGTTTTTTTTTAGCTCTATCCTTGTTACAATGAGTTTTGCAGTATGCTAAAATGCTTGAAGACCATCTGCAGCACTAAATAATGTGGCATGTATTAGGAAGGCATTGTATTAATGTGCAACCTTGTTAATGCATGATTTACAGCTGTTTCATGCCTGAGGGTGGGATTTTTCTATTTTCGGTTTTTGGGTTATACTTAAAATGGTTCTCCTACACTCTTCATATATTATTCACACCACATGCACCATAGAATACCTGCTGAGTTGTCCAGTGTGTCACAGACTTTCGCAAGGCATTCATTTTCTTCTCTCCATTTCTAAATTTCTCAGAATTACATTGTGATGAGCACTAAGCCATTCAGATCCACACGCTCCAATGGTCAGTCTTTGGCCTGTGGTGTGTTAGTTGATTCCAGCTCGTGTTTAGCAACGCAACATTTGGCCTTGGTGGTCCCTGGTCAGAAACAATGAAAATTCTCTTGTTAACTTTACAGTAACCAAAAGGAGTCGACATAGGCCATTCAGCACCTTAAACCTGTTTCACACCACAATTAAGCCAGGGCTGACCTGTGAAGACATTGGGTGCTTAATGGTTTCAGTTTTAATGCCCCACGCTCATTGTTTAATTCCGATCTTAATTCCTAATCCTGCTTCTCCATCAAGGAGAGGCAGGCACAATGAAGTCAGGTTAAAATCCCTTGAAGAGCCACATCAAACTTTGAGAGTAAGGAAAACCGAAAGAACTGCGGATGCTGGAAATCAGAAGCAGAAACAGAAATTGCTGGAGAGGTTCAGCAGGCCTGGCAGCATCTGTAGAGAAATGTTAATTCTGATTTCTCTGCACAGATACTGCCAGACCTGCTGAACTTTTCCAGCAATCTCTGTTTTTGTTTGAGAGTAAGAATTAAGCCCAGGCTCTCCATCAGAGTGTGACTGGGGCCTTCGGAGTGGTAATGGAATACAAGTGGGATGTCCCCTAGCAAACAGTGAACATGATAGGATGTTTGGTGTTGCTTCCCCGGCATCTAATTCCATCCCTTATTTGACATTCTGTGGGTAAGGGTAAATCAAACAGATTATAATGTTTGACCTCCAAGATAACGTTTGCAGGTAACAGAATGGGGACCTTCCCATTTGAGACTCCGAGCTAGGGGAGGAAATAACAGAAAGTCAGATCACCACCAAAGAAATAGTCCTGGCCATTCATTTCCTATGTTTCCCGCCACAATATGCCTCAGTGTGAGGGCACACGGCAGACAAAAGAGTCCAATTTGCTACATGTGATCATGCAGGAAGATGACTACTTATCTGAGATATCAGAGTCTAATGTAACTTCATCCAAGGCTTTTTATTTTTTAACTTGTCCATGAACTGTGGGCATTTTGTGACCTCCATCAATAATGAAGAGTCAGCTAAGTTGCTGTGGGTCTGGAAACGCATCAAGGCCAGACCAGGTAAGGTCAGCAGATTTCCTTCCCTAAGGGAAATTAGTGAGCCAGATGGGTTTTTACAATAACCAATATGGTCCGCACTAGGCTCATATTTGGATTGAATTAGTTCGGAGAACTTGAAATTCAAATTTCACCATCTGCCATGGTGGGATTCATATCCATGTCCCCAGAACATTTATCTGGTGTTCTGGATTGCTAGTCCAGTGGCATTACATGACTCCACTACCTCCCATGTCATCTTCCTTCAGCAGACTCGCTATTAAATTCTAGAATTCTTTCCAGCTAAAGCCCATGGCTCCAGAAAGAATCAAAGACTGAAAAGAATAATTATTTATTTGGTGAGGGTAGCAGGGGATGTGGAGCTAAGGTGGGTTAAGCTGAGGTACAGATCAGAAAGGTGGAGCAGGCTTGAGAGGTTGAGTTGCCTCTTCTTGTGCCTATGAGTCCTCCACACAATACATGACAATGCCATCCCACATAATGCTAATGATAAAGGGTTATAGAGCCATACAGCACGGAAAGAGACCCTTCGGCCCAACTCATCCATACCAACCAGGTTTCCTAAACTGAACTAGTCCCATTTGCCTTCATTTGGTCAACAACCCTCTAAACCTTTCCCGTACATGTACTGTCCAAGCGTCTTTCAAATGTTATAATTGTTCCTGCCCCTACCACTTCCTCTGACAGCTCATTCCATATACTCACCACCTTCTGTGTGAAAAAATTGCCCTTCTCACCTTAAACCTCTGCCCTCTAGTTTTGGAACCCCCTACCCTAGGGAAAAGACCTTGGCTATTCAGCCTATCCATGCCCCACATGATTTTAAAAACTTCTATATCACTGGACTGCTGTGTTTGCCCATTGGAACCCCAAACCCTCCCTATATTCCTTTCAATCAACATCACGTAAAAGAATGGTGGGTTCAGTACTGCGGTTTGTGAGATCTTGCTGTTCCACTGTTAGCTGCTGTGCTTCCCATATGACAGCGGCGGCAATACTTCAAAAGGTATTTCCATTGGCTTTAAAGCAATTCAGGCCATGCAGTGGTCACACAATTGAACGCGAGGGTTTCACTTTTCTCAGCTGCACAAGGACCCGATGAAAAGAGATGCTGCCCCTTTAATTAACTTGTGGGCTGCTTTTCCAAATCAAATGGAGAGAAACATCCTCTAAGGCACAGTTTCATTCCAGTGTGAGGCAGAGCTTTTCTTGTGGGCTGAGCTTGGCAATTAGCTGAGTCTCCCCAGCAGCATCACATGTCATGAAGTGTTTCGTAATCTGGACTAAAGTTTAGGCAGTGTCAAATATCCCTATTCCTGTTCAATTTAGCATCACTGGGCAAATTCACTTCCAAGGGATCGGACAACTCCCAAGCAGAGCAGACAAGGCTTCAGGCTTTTTAATGTGAATTTCACTGTGAAAGTGCTTTTTTCCTTACTAGACAGTTACCTTACTGAGCAAGGGTTGGAGGTATTTGATTAATTCCATTGAATTAACAGCACATTGTTAGCCCTGTGGAGAGGGTGCAGTCACAAGTTGGTTATGATTACAGTTTGGAATTGCCTAGAAATGAAAAGATCATAGATCATAGAATCCATATGGTGTGGAAACAGGCCCTTCGGCTCAACAAGTCCACACCAGCCCTCAGAGCATCCCACCCAGACCCGTCCCCCTACATCCCACCCAGACCCATCCCCCTACATCCCACACAGACCCATCCCCCTAAATCCTACACAGACCTATCCTCCTACATCCCACCCACACCCATCCCCCTACATCCCACCCAGACCCATCCCCCTAAATCCTACACAGA